TGAGGTATGTGACGTCATGCGCCCCGCCTCGAGGATGGTGGAGCGCATGCGCAGAATGCGCTGGTGACCAAATCCAAAATAGCATAAAAATGTGTTTCGTTTGACGAAACTAATGAAAACATTTTTAGTTTCCGTTCATTTCGTCCGAAACAAATTTTTAGTGTTTGCACAGATGGGAGGGGGGGTTGTTTACCTTTTTATTATTAATTTTTTTCACTGTTCGGGGGGCTTTGGGGAAATATCAGAGGTCTAAACAGACCCCTAACATTTCCCTTTCGAAATAGAAAAAGAGATTGAGGACACAGAATCCTCTGCCCATGCAGGCGGGGAGAGCAGTGGGGATCCGAGGAGAAGCTGGAGCCTGTGCCGCTCCTCTCCTTCCTGCCGAGCCGTGGCTGTGTTGGCCGCCTGGTGCCCCTGTTGCCAATGGCGCCAGCGGGTGCCTCACTCGCCCCATGGTAGCTACAGCCCTGGGTGGGGGGTTTGGGTAGTTTAGAAAAAGACAACTGGGTAGGGCTGACACCTCCAAGTACACAAAAATGCTGTGTGTTGTCAGCCCGACAGTAGGACTTAGGAACTGAGTGCATTTCTGGCGGGGCAACATGCATTTTTCAGTAGTTGTAGGGTCTTTGAATGAATAAAACATTGGGAAACGTGCATGAATTGCAGAAATGTACTGCATTCATTTTTTTTTCTTGACATATACTTTAACATGTAACACAGATGAATCCCAGGTTCTCTAATCTGCCTGATCAATGACCTCTCCTCCCGAGAATGGTTGGCAGGTGGTCATCTATCTCACCCTATATATATTAAATTATTCCCAGATATGACTGAAAACAGTCATCTCACGTCTCTGGGCAGTTTCAGAGTGCCCATGATCTTCTTCTATTCATACGGTAAACAGCCAGCCTGGATAACAATCTTATCATGCCTATGGGCCCCTTTAGCCCCACAGTGTATTGTGTTTCAGATGTATTAAAATTCATGTTATTCCCAAAACAGAAGGCTAACCCAAAGGTCTAGTGCAGAGATATGTCCAAAGATATCCAACTTGTTTTTACTTGAATACTTCAACCAGACGCCACCTGCCCATAATTCCGATCTGTCCCTGGGGCAACAAGTTCTATGCCAACGTGCACAAAAATCATCCAACTACTTACGCCATGCAACCATTCTCCTTGTCTGAGAAACTATGCATCTCTTCCTCTTTAGACAAAAGCAATATCCTGAGGTGTTTAAAAGATTGCTGTGCAGTGACAGAGGTTAAGCAGCTATTAAAAGGGATCCATCCACAGGCAATTTCCACCTACATGTAGCAGATGCCAGATTAATGGCCCATCTTTATTGCCATGAGAAATGGCATACTTTGTGCCTTCCCCAAATGAAAGAGCAGTTGATTTTATTATTTTTATATTATGGCGAGATTAACGCGTCTGGCTCCTGGATCACACACAGTTGTGCGGCGCGGTGGGTTGAGGTATCTTTAGCGACGCAAGCCAATAATCTTGTTTAAAAATAGCAAAACCTGAATAATGCAGCAGGAGAAAGAGGTTCCCGAGTTGTACAATATCTAAAGAATGTGAAGATGTTAATCTAATCTCCTAAATACTCAATAATGAAAGGCTTTATGGCGTTGTTCTGCGAACAGCACGAACTGAATCTGCTGAAACAGGAAAAAAGCAAGGATAATATATAACAAATTATGGCTGGCGAACACACAGGGCTGGACAAATTAACTGGGGGATTCAGCAACCACCAGGCACTCCCAGTGGGGATTTCCAATTTAGAAAAAAATCTACTGTAACTGTAGTAAAATAGTAACTTTCACAGGTGCCTCGAAAACAACAATCTGACCCTCGTCCACGGGGGGAAATTATTAGAAGGCACTCATGTGCCTGTACTGAAACAAGGTAGCTAAAGTCAATTTTCTTTATATTCTGGATAGGCTATGGAAGGGTTAAGACCCCTGTTAGTTCTGGTTTAACAACAAAGAAGGTTGGAAGTGAGAAAACAAGGAGTGGATAGGGAAGGAAACTTACGTTTGCAGCCCTGGGTCACCCCTTCTTGCTTCCAGGTAACTGTAATGCAAAACGTCCAAGTGTCTGCAAAGGTGAAGAGACATCCCCCCACTCTGGAAAGTAAAGGGCGCAGAGGCTGGCTGGCCTGAGGATTCAGCAGACTTGTAATGCCAGACTTTATGGATAGTAAGGGAGCAAAGCTTGGAAAGCCTCATTGTTAAAGTGCAGGGAGTTGATAAATGAAATGGTTCAAAGAGGGAGACAACTTTGCAGACCTGACAGAGCCAAAAAGGACTTTGGGGAGGGGAAAGAGTCTAACAGTAGAGGCTAGCATGACTCCAGGCTGCAGACATCCGCATCATCAGTAGGAGTGCCCCCCACCTATTAGTACAAAGTGAGCTGGGGCCTGGGGCACAATCAGCCCCCCACCTATTAGTACATAGTGAGCAGGGGCATAATCAGACATGTTGCAGCCATAGGACGGTTAGGCCCACAAAATCCAGAGAGCTGTTAGAAAGTGAAGGTTGGATGGTCAGAGGTGACAGAGGTAAAGCCAATGTAGGCGGGCAGCAGGATCAAAGCGTTTTAGTGGACGGGCTAGTGTGAACGAACCCTAACACATTGAAATAAGGATTCTCATTTTAGAAAATAAGTGACAGACATTTTCAATTACCGTATTTTGCGGTCCATAAGACGCACCGGACCATAGGACGCAGGGAGGTCCGGCGTGCCTTATGGAGCACTCGACAGACTGTAGCTTCTGACACAGCTTCTATGACAGAAGCTGTGACAGAAGCTGCAGTTAGTGACCGCTGAGACAGGTGGCGCTGTGATTACAGCGCCACGGTCTCAGTGATCACACAGAGCAGACGAAGAAAGTCTGTTCTACGTCTGCTCTATGGTGATCTCCATCGTCGCCGCTGCTCGGTTTTAATACGAGTGATCTCATTAGATCACTCGTATTAAACGAGCAGTGGCTCCTACTGCTGAATACGATCGCCGCCGCCGCTGCTCGGCTTTAATACGAGTGATCTCATTAGATCACTCGTATTAAACGAGCAGTGGCTCCTACTACTCGCCCGGCGCCCAAAACTGCATGTCTCGGGCGTCGGGATTCGCTCCATAAGACGCAGGCACATTTTCCCCCTCCTTTTGGGGGGGAAAAAAGTGCGTCTTATGGAGCGAAAAATACGGTAGGTCCAATGAAATATGAAAATTACTGTTCCGTGGCTAAACAAATACCCTTATCCTTGTCAGCTTTATAAACTGAGCCTATAGTAACCTCACTGTGTACATATCCTCACTACCCACTCTGTGGGCTGTCAATTCCAACAACTTGCCAATTTCCTCCACCCGTACAAGCAAGTTAGAATACTGGGTGGCAGATGGAATTTGCAATTTGAAACCCACCTAAAATAATATACAACAACAATGTGCTTATGCTAATTCATGATAGACTCATGACAGCGAAAGATGACAGAGGTTCATCCAATCATGACAAGGCTTATGCAAGAATCTAAATATTCACTCTTAAATTCTTATAAATGTGCAGGCATGTAAATGAAAGATTTACATCTGACCTTTATTGAGCTGTACTTTGTACAAGTCTAGCTGATTAGCTTAAGAATAAGGGCCAGAGGTCTATTGAAGCCATGCATTGTGGTTCGCCACATCAGAAAAAAAAGTGCATTTGCATTTAACCTGTCAAGCGCCAAACACGGGTGAAGGCCCCCTTAAAGTGTACTTCCACTTTCACAGGCAAAACTGAGAAAACCCTGACTATATGTTTGTTATGTCTTCTTATTTACACTTCATATCTAAAAATAATTAAAAAAATATATTTCTTACCTTTTAGATATCTCTATGTAGCAGGCCTTTGCTAGCTTCTCTCTCAAATTCAGCAACAGGAAACTCTGACTGTTCTAATAGAAAGACTGAGCTCCCCCTCATTAACATACTATGAAAGAAGCCAAGCTTCTAGATCTTTAACCCTTAGTTAGGACAGGCGGTGTTCAAATATAGTTTACAACTGATAATGACATTTGCCAGCACAGTACAGACAGGGTTAATTACGGCAAATATAACTTCCCAGCCCCACACTTAGAAGAAGAAAACTTCAGCTTTGGAGTTTTTAGTTTTTTTTTAAAAGGGTGTAAAAGGTAAGCAACATTTTTTAAATAGTGTTTTAATGTTATTCTATGTGAATGGGAACATGTGACAAATACAGTATAAAGAAGGTATTGTTTCTCTTTGGCTGCAAAAGTGGAAATACCATTAAAACCACAAGAATAAATGTGGACTGTTGACCTCAGTCAAGTGATTGTTAGTCCCTACTGTCTGTCACTTTCACTTGTTAGATTGGTCTTCATGTAAAGGTGACTAGGAATATAAAGGTATATAAGCATAAGGAATTATTGCGATACACGACGCGCGGCTGTGTTCGGAAGCATGGACGGAATCGTGGCGGGAAACCGCGCGATCCGTCTGGTGCGACAGGGGTGCCATTAGAAAAAAATATCACCCACAGCGCGATCGGTTCACACCTTGGCGACTCCTGACTGCGCGGCAATCGTGAGGGGTCCCATAGGTGTGCACCGGTCCTTAAGTGGAATGTAAACAAAGCCTTACCGCCTCTTGATCATAAACAGGGAGGGGGAGCAGTCAGTGACAGCTTGGTCACTGTGCTGGAAGAGTGCTAGTGAGCACGGTCTCAGCACAGAACACTGGGCCCGCTCAGGCATATATGTGTACCACCAGAGTTAAGGCCCACACAGCACAAGGATGCATATGTGCATTATGCCAGCAGGAAGGTGTTAGGCTGGGTTCACACCTAGGCAACAGCATTTTTGCACGTTTTTGTGCATGTTTTTTGTGTGTTTTTGTGCACGTTTTATGCACATAAACCAAATTGCGCGTTTTTGTGAGCAAATGTGCAAAAACACAGCAAACACGCGTTTTCAAGCATTTCCTATTGAGTCTATGGGGCTTAAACAAGCTGTAATATCCCCCAAAAACAAAAAGCTCATGTACTTTCTCCAGGGACAGGTGTTTTGCTTATTGCGACAAAATGCTTAGATGTAAATAGGGCCATAGAAATGAATGGGAATTTTTGGGGGCATATTTTTTTGCGTTTTTTAGGGCAGAAGAAGCGCTACAAAATGCTCAGTGTGAACCGGGCCTAAAAGGATAAAAGAGTTTTTCTTGAACATTTCTAACTTCAGCAGCAACTGTCACACTTCAAGTGACCTCTGAACCCTTACTCAGGCTCAAATTAAGCACATTCAGATTCTCAGCTAATCCCAAACGTAACAGGTTCTCTTTAAGTTAATGCCTTTTTGTATGTACACTAGTATCTAATGAGGTTAATTAAGCTTATTATACCGAGACAGGCAAATTAAACTCTGTTACATACTATATAAATAAGAGTGTGTTACCCATAAAAAGAAAGATAAAAATGCATTACCTTCCTAACATAAGACACGGCATCTTCTTCAGTGTATACTTCTGCACTGACTCCTCCTCTCCTGCGTCTGGCCTTAACCACCGGATTTGGAGGTGGAGGGGAGATGTCATCATCATGAGAGTCTGACTGGGAGTTTGACTTCTGCTGAGCCAATATCTGTTTGCATTCTTCCTGTAAATACAGAATGAGAAGGTTGGGATTACAAACTCATTGTTAGAACCAAAAAGTTAAATTATGGGAGGAAATTCGAATAGCTTCCACTCAGGACAAAAATTCTATTGCAGCATCAACTATGAAATTCTTGTATGTTTCTTAAAAACACTCACACTTATATTTGCAGCATTAAGCATATCAATTCCACAAAAAATAAATGACGGGTGTCAAATGATATGGGAACTACTAGTGCCAAGTATATACAGACACAGAACATGCACATGTACACACACATATATACATATGTTGGACCTGTGACTTTATTCAACCTTACCTATGTAAATGTGCCATTGTAGGTTCAAATTGATACATTGTTAAGCTGTGATACAATGAATGGAGATTGCTGTGCACACAAAGAGCAACACACAACACAACACACTTCCTCTGAAATATGTTTTTGCCTTCAGTCACACATTAGTGTAGATACGCGACTCAAGGTGCAAAACCCAAATAGCAACGCATTCCTATGGGGCTCGTTCATACCTGCACAAAAACACGCAAAGCGGGGAAAAAGGACGTGCACAATTTTCTGGCCGATTTCAGCGTGTTCTGTCCCCCCCTATAGTTTATTAAAAGTGCGCATTTTTTGCACGCATTCGAATGCACGTAAAAATATGCTGAATTTGAAACGGGGATGTGTGAATGGAGCCTTAGTACTAACCTGTGATGTGTATGCAGAGGCGTAACTAGAAACCCCAGGGCCCTGGTGCAAGAAACCATTGAGG